TAATTCCAAGATTTGATAAAAGTAATGAATATTTATTAAATAATTATTTATTTTAATATAATTATTATTACTTTGAAAATTTTTAAAATTTTTTGAAATAAAAATTTCTAGAGTTTATTATTTTAAAAAATTTTATATTAAAAATTTTTTTGGATAGAGATTTCTAGAGATCTTCATTAAAAAAATTTCCTGATATACTATATATAAGTTAATCTTTAAGTTATTATTAGAATTGACATATTTGCTTTTCAAATGTAGCTTGATATATAGCAAATGAAATATATTTTACCTTATACTTTACTTGAATATCTTGTTCAAATAGTTAAATAATCACAATTTCAATTAGAATATTATTAGTAAAGATTAATATTTTATTCAACTATTTAATATTTAATTATTCTTACTTTTTTAAATTTGTAGCAAGTTATAAGTTAATCAAGTTTATAATAGATTGTCTATATCTGTGACAAGTAGAAAAGTAGATAGCTGCTTTTTATAAAAAACTTCATTTATAAAGCTGCATCAATTAGTTATTTGGATAGAATTCAACTTAAGTATAATATAGAGAGAAAATAAAAAGAAAATTTGAATATGAAGTAATAGTTTGTTATAAAAAATATAGAATATAGAGTAAGATAAAATTTTTTATAAATGTTACTACTTAATTTTATACAATTAACTTATATTATTAAGGATAAATAAAAAACTTTTATTATTATTATTAACTTGTTTGTAGAGATAACTAAAATCTTTAGTTTTTATATATTACCTTATTAGATTTTTCAATTATCAATATAATATTTGTAATTAACTTAACTTGTTATTAGCTATATTGATATTGATTGTTATATTACTTTAAATACTGTAAGATATAATTTCTTGAATATTTTTAGATAATAATAATTGTATAACAATTTCTTAAATGTATTTAATCTAACTATTAATCAGTAAATAATATTAGATTTGATAATAATAATTATATTAATCTTTGGAAAAGAAAAACTATTTGTTTTTTTTCTAAAAGATTATAAAAGAAAAAAGTTTTTTGAAATCTATATTTTAAAAGAAGTTACTATTTTTTAATATGATTCCTGAAAAAATAAAGTTAATTGACTAAAGTAGTAATATTATAAAGATCAAGTTTTCAAAAAAAAAAAATCAAAAAAAAAAAATCTTTAGAAAAAAGAAAAAATCTAATTTTGACAAAAGAAAAAGAGAAAAGGAGAGATATAAAATATAAGGAAGTATATAAAAGAGAAAGTAAAAAATAAAAGAAAATAGAAAAAAGAAAATAAAGATGAAAAAAAATATAAACAATTCAAAAATTTTTTAAAAAGGAAATATTCAGGTATAGAAAAGAAAAATAGGAAAGAGTTTTTTTATATAAAATAACTTTTTATATTATGTTATAATTTAATTTATAAAATATTAAAGAATTATAAAAAAAATTATAATTATAATAGTTTTTTTAAAAAATTTATTTTATATAAAATTTTAAATTTTCTTATTTTTTTAAAATATTTAAATAAAAACAAGAAATATATAATAAATTTAATATATAATTCTAAAAAAAAAAAAAATCCCAATAAAATATTTTAAAGAACTTCAAAAAAAAAACAATATTATATTATATTTATTTTTTTTTATTTTTATTTTTTAATTGGCTAAGGGCATTAGATGTGAGATATTTATTAAACATTTGTTTGTAGTCATTAAAGCCAAAGATTTGCAAATATCATTTCTGTAATCCGGGAACAGTTTCAGGCTATCTTTGATAGAGTTAAGGGTGCGAATGATTATACATTAGATCAGATGTGTAATGTTGTATCGGCTGATATTCTTAAGCTTGGGATGGGAGCAATTGGAAAAGATACAATAAAGGGTTTTTACAATGGGAATAGTATAAGAAGCGAAAACTTAGAAAAGATAGGTGCTTGGATCGATAGTAAAACAGTTACACGTAATAGTGAGTAGCGGGAAGGAACTCTCATTTTATGGGTTAGAGCTCGAGAAATTCCTCCCTTTAAACGTCCGCTACTGTTTAAGTTTTTTATAATAAAGTTTATCTATTATTACTTGATTTTAAAAAGTCGAAGTTATATTAAAAAGAATCTCGTATATACTGTTTGAAAATCTTGACGTCAATCAATCACAGTTAACATGTGTAACCACAATCATTAAAGTGGCGTTTATTCAAGTTATCCAAGAAGATATTCTGCCTAACTCAGTTAAGTATTTTTTTCACATTACCACAAATGAAAGGATGCGTTGACGGTATCCTACGTCCATATGGTTCAGCCCTTTGGCCGATGTTTGGATAAGATTGCTACGGGTAAACCGCTATGACTCGTTACACGTTCGTAACGGCTCTTAGTGCCTCAGCCTGAGCCTCTCTTCCAGTATATCAGCAGTGTAGTATCCTACGTCCATACGGTTCAGCCCTTTGGCCGATGCTTGGATTAGAGTGCTACGGGTAAACCGCTATGACTCGTTACACGTTCGTAACGGCTCTTAGTGCCTCAGCCTGAGCCTTTTTTCCAGAATATTATGCTGTAGCACAAAAAAAAAATTTCTGTTTTCGTTGCAATTATCCAGCAGATTACTAACAATAATCTTTCTAGATATGAATTTTGATCGTTATATTGAAAATTACATACGTGACTCCGATCCTACCGACTGGAACGCTCTAAACTGCCTTAAATGTCTGAAAGATAATGATGATTTGGATTTCACATCCGATAGCAAACAAGATATTTTAGATGCATTTATAAAAACATTTAAAAAGGTTATTGATTCCCCTATCGTACATAATGGAGCAAAGAGAAAGGCAAAAAAAATATTTAATAATATCAAAGATACTTTCGAAAGAAGAGAAATTGACGAATTTTTTGAAGAATTGGACCATGAATTTGATATAGTAAATTAACTGCCGTTTTCATAACGCAAGTTTATGCAAATATTAATCTATCATTTTATAGAGGAAAACCGATCGGGAAGTGCATAAAAATGTAGATACGGCAAAAGTGTTAATTGCAAAGAAGGCAACAACACGATTAGGAGAGGTTTTTTTTTTTTCCTGTTATTTTTTATTTTCCAAACATAAATGAAGTCATCTTATTATTATTATTATAATGATTTCAAGACATTAGGAATTCAAGAACAAAGAAGTAATAAAAAGAGGAAGACGGAAGGGAATACTGATGTGGTTAGTATATTGACTCGAATATATATATTTATTAAAATGTACTCTTTAATACGTTAATATATTGGAGAAGAGGGATAGTCCGTATGATGGTGTATCAGGCGATGAAGAACGAAAACCAACAAAACCACAAAAAAAGAAAACATCAGGAAAAAGGGTTGGTATATAACTTAAATTTTGACCGCAAAAATAAGTACATTTTACAGAAGGTAACGAGCTAAATTCTTTTAGGAAGATATATTACCTGATAGTACCAAACTTGAGAAAGCGACTCCACTGAAATTAATAACATCAGATGATGACGATTCCTCCCATGATTCTTCCAAAATACATGAATCTGATAATGAAGATGGTTATAATAGTGACGAGGAAGATGTTCCCCTTCCAGAAGAGTCTCTCGATTTCGTCCTTAACAATCAAAGGAGCTGGATCTTACCCTCAGGACAGAGCGCTGGCGGAATTTTCACTGAGAATATATCTGCAAATGCGGTGGAAATCAAAAAGAAGAAAAGATTATCAGCCGTAGAAAAAGCTATATTACGCTATGGTGCATCACGAATAATTGATTTATCAGCGCACATGAAAGAATGGTTCTCTCTTGAAGATAGAAGATTCATGATGAATGATTACATGTCTTTGTTACATGTTCCCGGCCTGAAAGACGAAGAAAGCTCCTTTGTCACAACTATCGAAAATGTACATGCATTGTTTTGAATTTGCCTGTTCTGTACACACAAATATGCATGCTAATTAATTTTTCTTATACAGATGGTAAATGAAAAAAGAATAAACGAAGCATACGAATTTTGTGTTCAAAAGTTTACTAGTTCTGATGTGAACTGCTATGTGCGCAAGATCAGCAAAATATATTTAGATTTGTTAGTACTTGATTATACAGTATATTTCTTTGATTCTTTATCTTTGTGATTGATTCTGATAATTTGATGTTTATAGTATTTACAGAAGCGAGGATGGTGATATATTGGATTCTGCACACACAGAGGTTGACGTAATACTAAAAGCGTGTTCATATATCGTTGAAGGGCTGAGGAAGAGTTTAGTAGTAAAACAAAGATGGTTGGTATAAATGAAATTTAATTGTTTTGTATTCCAGGTTACTTATGTTACAATTTTATATATTAAAATAAGGGGAGAGTCATTCTGCCCATTGAGCAAAAATGCGGATTATAAAAATGGTCGCAAGTGTGATGTGCGTTTCTTATCACCATCAGGTGTAGACCTTGGAGAATGGGAGTTTGCGTCAAATTTAACGTCGCACAAGGCAATTGGCGACCGTTGTCGATCAGCTCGAATTAATCAATCGATATTAAATGGTCTGTTGAATCGTAATCTGACCAATGTAGAGGTTAAGAAAATCAATGTGCCCTTTTTACAGATTGCAGGTACAGAGGGGTATTCAAAAATTAAATCCGATTTTCATGGTAAAAAAAAAATGTGTAATAAAAATTTTTATTTTTATCCCCAAAAAATAATCTACCAATGGGTTGCATGTCCTTTTTTTTTAATCACTTCTTTAACACGATCCGGCATAGAATCAATAAAATCATAAATTTTATCTGACTCAATATTATTCCAGGCTGCAGTAATGGCCTCTTCTAATTCAGATTGGATTTGCAGATTTCGTTGATTCTTGTGAATCCAATTTTTGACTTCTCTCCATACATTTTCAATTGGACTTAAGTCAGGAGATTGGGGAGGCCATTCCATAGATACAATCTCGAGCTCAGATTTAATTTCTTTTACAAGTTTGCATATATGAATGGAGGTGTTATCTTCTTGTAAGATTGGGTCTTCAGTTGTTAAAATTATTGGATAAATAGTATCCAAAATAAGGTTTCCGTACTTTTCACCATTCATATGTGAAGAGGTGCGAAATAAGTGATGCAAATTATGCCCATTTATACATCCCCAGACCATAATAGATTTACATCCACTTTTAACAGTTGCTTGTATACAATCTGGGTTATAGAGTTCATTCCTGTGGCACTAAACATGGATTTTCCCATTAGAGTCAGTGCTAATAGAAGATTCGTCAGTCCATATGACACGTCTCCAATCTTCTTTGGTTCATTTTTGATGAAGTTTTGTCTATTTTAATCAGTTGGTTCTGTTTTTTTTTAAATAAATGGCTTTTTACAGGCAATATAAGAGTAAATATCATTTTTTTAAAAAACTTTAACCAAGGTCTGATCAGAAATTGAAAATTCAGTAGCTAGAACCCGTTTTGACATTTGTCTCATTTCTGAATCACCTTTAATATTGCGAAGAATTAACTGTTCAAAACGGTTATCAACAATTGGTTTTTTTTCACTATTTTTTCTTGCCAGATAATCAGAATTCTCAGTTAATTTTAATCGCTTAAGACAATTCTTGATACAAGTTTCTGATTGTTTAAGAACATATGCGATTTTAGGAATAGATAAGCATATTTTTTGTAATACTTCTATAATATAGTGTTCACCATCCGTAAGATCTTTTTTGCATCCTATTTTTTACATAAGTCAGAATCAAAAAAAAATTTTGTTTAAATAATAAATTAAACAAAAACAGACGTCTTTTATTAATGCGCAGCATTGATGCACGTTTAATTTAATATCATAATTGTTCATCATCGCAAAAGCAAAATTTGATTTATCACTATCGGGTTCAATTTTTAAATACCTCTCTGTATAAGTAGGCAGATGTTAATCAAGGATTTAATTGAGGGTTTTTATGTTATCTTTCCGGATCCAAAGTTTGAGTTACCTACGAAGCTTCAACATATTGGAAAACTGAAGTCCTGTGTAAACATTATCAAGTTTGTCATAGTAAACTTACAATTATGTTCGTTCAATGACATCAAAAGTATTTGTATCATTAATATATTTTAACATTTTACGCAGGATATATATGAGCAAATAAGCGAAATTGTAGAAACTAAAAAAAGTACAAGTAGTGAATTTGACAGCATTTTCGGTAGTGATGATCTTAATATGAGTAAACCCGCCCATTGTAAAGCTGGACTTATTCATAAATTGTTGTGGAGTCCTAAAAGTAACAAAACCAAAGTTACTGACAACAAATAGCAAAAAAATTTTATGAGGGCTTGTCTATATTTTTTAATTTCGCAATTCTATATTCATCACAAATTTGCGATTTTAATACTATTGAGCAAATAATAAAGATTCTCACTAGCAAAATACACTTCCATTCAAAGTGTGGCACGTGATAATTCTGAATTTTAATTGATTGATCATAACTCTGCTAAATAAACTTTGATTAGTTAATTAATCAAGAAAGCATTTCTTCAATGTAACGATTACATAACTGATCATGAGTCATCATAATTGATAAAAACATTGATTTTCTTATATATTTATATGAATCAATGCACAATCACGGTCCATCATGGGTTTCATCACAGTTGATTAGACACCTTATGCCTGCAAAGCAAAAAAGGTGAATACAGGAAGTCGGATGGTTCGATTTTACATACATATTCATGTATGTATATTAATGAGTATCTATGATCGATAAATTTTTCTTGGCAGAAAAACCATGACAACGTTGTGAACCGAGTTCACAAAGTGATCGGTAAAATTCTTCATTGTCTAATACGTCTAATTCAGAAAATATAATAAATGAGGATAACAAATCTTTACCAGTGAAAGAGATAAGCATATCTATTGGAAAAATCTCAAAGGATAAACTAGAAACTGTAAATGAGGATAATAATATAAAAGAGAAAGTCGAATCTTTACTGATGAAAGAGGTATGTGAACCCGATGATTCTTTAGATTCTAACTTGGAACTCTCTGATGATAATGAGTTCTGTGGATTTTCTGATAATTCTAACACATTATTTGTAAAATCTAATTTCAGATACACGTCTCAGACACAGAGTATCTTGGATTTGCACATCTCAGATTTATTATCTTGGACCAGGTGATCTCAAATGGTAGGTGTCACACATCCCTATCGCTGGAAAATTAAATAATATGCTTATAATACACTCCGAAATAAATCAAACTTCTCAAAATAGATTATGCAACGATTATCAAAAATAATGATTCACACACTTTTTTCTCTTTGTCTCTTGGAAAAAAGATATTGTTATACTTGATTTTCACTCAAAGATCATTATGGCCCTTGTATTAGTTTCACTAGCATTTACCCTTGAACTTCTTCCAATTCTAGAATAATCTTGTATTACAGATCTACTATTGTATCTTTGGCACCTATTGCATCTATTATACCTTTGCTATTTCTAGAATATTCATTATCTATTTACCTTCTATTTTTTAAGTTATCTTCGCCAGAATATTCATTTATATATATGCTAGCATATTTGACTGTTCTGATGAAAATAACATTTATATTATAACTTATATCTTTTTTTTTTTGGAGGGGGTTTTTCCTAGCAGGTAAACATTATTTCTTTATTTGTTATCATATACTGATTATATATACATTTGAGAAAGAAACAACATCTCTTGGGTGCATATTGCATACAACAAGTTAAA